CCCCCCCCCCAAGAACTTGTTGGCATTGGCTCCTTTACAGGATCAATCTTCTCAGACTCACTCCTCACATCCCCTTTCCAGGAATGCACAAGGAGCCCAAGGCCTCCCTCGACGAACACACCAAAGCCCAGACACTGACAGCTGTCTTCCTGGTGCCCTCCATTCATTCACTCCCCACGTGGGAAAATTTGCACCAATCAGCCTCATCTGAAGACACTCACCACCATTCTGAGAACTCACGACTATGGACCTTGTCAAACACCCCCGCCCCCGCCCCCCAGTTCTGAGACAGGGCTGGACACAGAGTTACTCAAGCTGTGCTTCCCTCCAACCAAACTCTGGCTCCCTCCCCAGCCAATGGCACTCACTGTGACCTCTTGCTTTGGCAGAGGACTTCCTGCCCTGCCAGAGGGGTTTGTGGGCGACAGCCCCAGTCGCTCTTGGTAGTCGAATCTGTCTTCTCTTTAGCAGTGCACCATGCACCTTCTTCTCGGAACCCAGAGCAGGCAGGGCCTCGCTGTGTTCCCTACAGTAGGGGTTTGAAGGACTCCTGCTAGTCACGGGCAAAGGGGGACTGACCCCCTCCCCAACCCAGACCCCATACTGTGCTGTGATGTTTGGTTTGTGTTCTGACAAATACAGCTTGCTTGGCCTCAGGGGGCAGAGCTAGCCACTGGTTAACTATAGAGGTCTGGAGGTCTGTGCAGAGGGGAGACAGGAAGTGATAAAGAAGGGTGGAGGGAGGATCTAGGCCTTTTTGGTTGGAGGAACCAGAGAGGTGGGAAGTGGCTGCGGCTGCTCCCCTGCTTCTATGTTCTTTTAGGATTTTACCTTGACACCTGATTTCTGTTTTTTATCAATAAGAGTAATTCGATTTACGCCTCAACACACTCATGAGGAGATGGCACAACTGGGACACCCGAGGACCCGAGAGTGTGAGGACCGGGTTTCTCACCTGGCTTTGGTCCCGGTGCCACAGCTGTGGCCTCTGCCACGGTGATTGGCAGGTCCTCTGAGGCCAGGTTCTATTTCCAGTGGGGCTCCAGGCTGGTTCCCTGGGTTACATTCCGAGGTGGAGGGCCAGACCGGGACCTCCACTTTGTCTTTTGGTTCCACGGTTCTGGGGTCGAGAGCAGAAACGCCACACTGTATCTCCACGTGTATCCCAATGGCCACGGTATCCACATGTGCTAATGCAGCCTGACCCCCTCCCCAACCCAGACACCATACTCACCAGGACATGGGTTTCTCACCTGGCTTGGGTCCTGGCACAACTGTGGCCTCTGCCACGGTGTTTTGCGGGTCCTCTGAGGCCAGGTTCTACTCCAAGTGGGGCTCCAGTCTTGTTCCCCACGTTACATTCCAAGTTGGAGGGCCAGCCCGGCGAGACACTCGCTTTATGTTTTTGTCCCATGGTTCTGGGTTGGAGAGCAGAAACGCCACACTGTATCCCCAAGAGTATCCCAATGGCCACGGTATCCACATGTGCAAAGGCAGCCTGACCCCCTCCCCAACCCAGGCACCATACTCACGGGGAGGCGGGTTTCTCACCTGGCTTGGGTCCTGGCGCAACTGTGGCCTCTGCCACGGTGATCTGCAGGTCCTCTGAGGCCAGGCTCTGTTCCCATTGGGGCTCCAGTCTTGTTCCCGATGTTACTTTCTGAGGTGGAGGGCCAGCAGGTGATATCCACTTTGTCTTTTTGTTCCGTGGTTCTGGGGTGGAGAGCAGAAACGCCACTGTATCCCCCTGTGTATCCCAATGGTCACGGTACGCCCACGTGCAAAGGCAGCCTGACCCCCTCCCCAACCCAGACACCATACTCACCAGGTCGTGGGTTTCTCACCTGGCTTGGGTCCTGGCGCCAGAACTGTGGCCTCTGCCACGGTGATGTGCAGGTCCTCTGAGGTCCTGTTCGATTTCCATTGGGGCTCCAGTCTTGTTCTCCATGGTACATTCCGAGGTGGAGGGCCAGCCCGGGACATCCACTTTG